AGTTCTCCAAATTAGGGTCCCTTTGTAGGTCCCCAAGAGACCCTAATTTAGAAAACTACCCATTAACACAACTACATGCAATCTATGTAATGAGCAAGTCGGCATGAGCACACAACGAGGCCTCTGCAGTTCCAAGTGCTACCTGCTGCTGTGGCCACCGGCCGCGTGCCGGATGGCTTGGAAGATACCGAGGCCCCAGACTAGACTTTACTATACTTACTATACTACACTGGACGAGACTATACTATTTCCATAGCTGGTGTGCTATGTTGTGGTACAAGCTATGTTCTAGTCTGCTTCCATGGAGAGGAGTATGGAATGGTAAATATTGAGTAGTGTACTCTTGTGCAACACCCCTGAGAGATGTGAACACGGTACTCAGCCACACAGAGAGTTCGGCATTGCCACCCTTTCACTGGCGATCAGGTACGGAAGTGGGCTGGAGACTGAGTTGCGCCTGGCAGGAATGCGAGCAGTCTTCCCCCCCATCACATACCTTTCGCAGTGATACGACTGAACCGACTCTCTGACAGAGTGTGCGCGAGCTGCTTAAGCGCTGTCTCCATCAGTTCATTGCAAGTCTCTTTTTTTACAGACTCAGGTCAAGCAGAGGTTCGGAAAGCATGCCCCAGTGCATCGCATGGCACCTCGGCAGTGTACATAGTGGGCCCAGCCGGCTGCGGGCTGCATGACGCGATTACGAGCTGTTGACCGGAGCTGAAGGCGATCATTCTCCTCACTGGGAAGCCTCCTGGTATGGAAGAAAATCGCAGGGCCACTTGGAGAGGAAACACGTAGCTTGGGGCCGGGCTTGTAGATGCGCAGCTGCGCAGCGGCAGGACGAAATCGTGCTCTGCTGTTGAGAGCACTGGAGAGCCGAAACCAAGGATAGTGATGCTGCCTGATGATGCAAAGAGAATTGAAGTTTCACTTGTACAAACCGTAGGAGGCTCCCACAGTGCGCGGTATGCCTTTGTATGTCGGCAGCAACTGGTGTTTTACGCTTGTCCCATGCGTCAGATCTGCACGTCCCGACTTGTTCAAGCTCCTGCCTAGCAGTATGTCATATGTGGTGCTCTTTAACAGCCGTTGTGGGATCAGTTTCACTTCCCGGAGGCTTAATTGAGCTGGAGATGGGTGTGAAGAGTTTCACCAACATGGCGATGTGCAGCGCCGTTCATCCAAACACCCTGTGCGTCCAGTTGACAGCCTCTCGCAGAGTCCCATATGACACCATCCCAGATGTGTCCCGCGAGCCTTTGCCGGAAAGGTGCTCCCGTTTGCTGCTTTGTAGGTCGATCCACTGGCTCGCTTCGTGCCCCCCGGACGGCTACTCGAGGACTTCTGCGTTGCAGAGCAGCTGCTTCTTCGGCACCAGCCTGCAAAAGCGGCCAGCTATCGGTAGTTGAGCTTGCTTGTGTTAAGATGGGTTAAGATGACGTGCCAGGACTCGCCATACTCAATGAGACCAGGAGGCAGCATCTTGCACAGCGGAGCTCGTCCGCACCGGATGCAGCGGAGAGCGTTGCAGCTCTACAGCGTCGTCTGCAGCCTCACGGCTTGCTCAGCCTTCTCTAAAACATAAAAGAACCTCGGCGGGTGCTACCCTACCCCACTGATTCAACTCCTGGACAAGACGCTGACTGACCCAACAACGAATCGATCCTATTTATCTTCATGTCTTGAGGAAGTCCTCCGTAGTCGGCAGCCCCGCACCCCACAGCACATGTCTGAAGACACAGACCTTTTCAGCCTACCCTCTAAACTCCAAACCCCCAAACACCAAAGCTTCGAGCTCACCTCCCTCTAAGATCTAAATTTTTATGAAAGCCCCTGAGACGCTGGAGCCCGAGCCATGGTCCGGGGTCAAAGAGCGCTTACCGGAGCCGGTGCTCGCCGCTTACGCCGCAGCTGGCTCGTATGCCAAGGGTGTTGTGGGTTTAAGTTTCGGGCCATTTAGGGCTCAGGGTTTCTATCTATCGTGTCTTGTTGTTGCTGGGTGTAGGACAGTGTAGGACCGACCTCGACCTGCCTGTTGTTTGGTTCTTAATGGGCTTGGGTCGACATGCACTCTACGGACTCTACGGTTAATGTATTCTGTGGGTTACCATAACCATAAGCTTACCCAAAAAAAGTGAAAGGTTCCTCCTATTTCGGCAGCACCGTTCGCATGGGGCTGATGTTGTGTTGAGCTCTTTCATGGCAGAAGTCAGTAAGTCGAGCCGAAATTCTCCGGGAGCCCGCCCCAGGATGAGCGAGTCCTGTGCCAGCTCCACATCAAGTGAGGCGGTGTCAAATTTCTGGGCCTCTCGGGGTTCCCAGAGGAGGAGAAAAGCCCCAGACTGTTTTTCAAGTGCCATATTGTTGTCGAACCCCGCCTCAGCAAGATCGTAGGACTGTTGTGGCTTTCGCTTGGTGTACGCCTGGATAGTACTTCTTGCATATTGCAAGTTGTCAATTTTTGGCTCATCTACATCGCAAGATCATGCAGCATTATGCGCTGTATGCCAGGGTGTGTGGGCGATGAGGTGGTGGGGTGGATCGGGGGCGGCTTCGTTGTTGCGTTACTTGTTCGTTTCTACTGTAACATGGGCGACCATCCCCTAATGTGGTCGCATAATGTTTCATATCATCAAGAAGTATGTAATTCTATGCGTTGCGGGTAGTGCTCATGCGGTGGTGTGGTGTTGATGCGTGGTAGCGGCGATGGCGGCGGTGTGGGAACACCTTCTCTCCCAACTCTCTCTTTCTTCCCTACCTTTGGCTCTTTTCCCTCTGTCTCTCTCTCATCATGTTGCTGTAGCAGCTGTAACAGGTTCTACTCCTGTATGCATGTCACGTGTAAGTGTCTGTCAGGCCTCGGGCTTGTCCTTTGGGGACTCGAGCGATTCTTTGGAGGAGGACAAAGACCACGCCGCGCTTTGCTGGACACATGCTGTTTCCCATCAGCTTGAACCACTACCCGTTGCGGATCCCAACTTGTCATGAGCTGTGGCCGCTAATCATGCAGTGCGAGGCATGGAGAAATAGCGATGTTGCCTTTCCCAAGAGTCCACGAATCGCGCAGGATTCCCAAACGTCCGAAACAGCTTCTTGGCCATTAGATAATCTGGACAGCTGTCAGTTCGTGCTCATGTTCGGCTGCAGATGATGATACACAGATATGTGGGTTTCCGAAAATAGGGGTACCTTATTTGGGGGTCCTTATAGTAAGGATCCTATTATTTGGGGTACTATATTAGGGTACCCTATTTTCGGAAACTCCCATATTCAGGAGATGTGTTCACTGTTGCTGAGGCGCGGCTCGGCAGTTGGTTTCGCAGCTTGACCACAGGAATGATGTCACCTTGTGACCTTGTGGGTAGTTCTCTAAATTAGGGTCCCTTTTTAGATCCCAAATACAGTACGGCACCCCTATAAAAAGGACACTAAGAGGGATCCTAATTTAGAGAACTACCCTTGTGGCAAACGAAGATTGAAGATGCCCGTTCCCCTCCGCCAAGGCCTCACCAGTCTGGACAAACGCCCAACAAGATCGTCGAGACGCTGCCTGCTCGCAGATATGCAACTACGTACTGCGCAGATGCGTCACATGCTGTGTATCAATTTCACCTCAGTAGTCATATGTATGTATATACAGGTCTACATATTGTGATGCCACCGTGTCTTGTCAGAAGGTCAAGGTTCTCATCAATTTGGTCCGCGGCTCACTTGGCGCCAGGCCTTACCTGATTGCACATTTGCATCCCGGCTCGACTCTTTGGGTTTTGAGATCTTGGTGGGTTTACATTTTAGGGCATTCGGGGTTTACTGCAGGTCGCGAATCATAAAGCCTTTGGCAGTTGGTGGCCAAGGCCATCTTCCAGCTGCTGCTTCTCGTTCCGGCGCTGTTCCCGGAGTTCCTGTCGCTTCATGTCCGCATTCCTGGCGGCTGGGTTGGCCTCGGGACTTGCAGCATCGTGCAAATTGTCCAGCTGCCGCAAACGAGACCGGTTGAAGCATGCTTCGTGCGTGTGGTTCCATACAGTACACGGCGCGATGCGTCGCAGCAGGCTAGAGTGCCAGAAAATGCTACTGACGGGCGTTGGTCCTGCCCTTGTGCTCTTCAAACCGAAGGCTAAGTGATGGCTCCGAATTCTGTGACGATGTGGTGGAGGCATCGTGAACTTGCTGTTCTCACTCGTGGGCCATGCGTCACACCAGTCGTTTTCAGGACAGCATTATACGCACTGCCACACAAGCAGCACGGACTGTATTTTTTGGTGCATGCAACATGTGATGCACTTGGAGTGTCCATCGATTGCTTGACAGTCGTGTGCATTGCATAGATGCCCAGATTGCACCATGCAGGCGCGAAAGGAGCATCTGGGAGGCCATCGCGGGCCATACTGGGGTTCGTATTCTCACATCATGATCGTTTCTGGGTGATCCCTACATTGCTGGCCCAGCCCTGGTGCGAACTCCTTTGATCTGCACCTCACGAAATGACATGATTCTGCGTTGCGTCCTGTCCCTGCAGATGACATCAATGGCATCGCTCCTGGCATGAGATTCTCCGTGCTGGTTTACTCCTTCAGCGCTCTCGTCAACATCGGCGCAAACCTATTTATCTCGTTGCGGATGCGGTTGACCTTTGCTTCTGCCTCAGGGCAGAGCAAGATGCTCAGCAGCTTGGTGCTAATTGGAGAGTGACAATAGCAGTGCAGGATGGGTGGTTACCGGGTGCCTCTTGTTTTGGCAGGCACAGAGGCCTCTGTCTGCTCCGTGTTGTCGCTGTCCTGGCTGCTGGCCGGACTTTCTGCTGCCAGCTGTGCAGCCACGTGGTGTTTTCCAGGACACGGTTCAGTGAGAAGTCCTTTCGACCCTAAACCCCTGGACCCCTAAACCGCTGAAGGACTTCGCGGCATTCAACTGGGCTTGGCACTGAACGTGATCACGTCGCCTTTGCTGCTGCTCTTGGTAGCAGCATTCATAAGGCCGGATCAGCGATGCGCAGGAGACGCCAGCATCATCGAAATGTAAAAGGCTGATTAGGGCTCCCTTCAAGATGCTCGTGTTGTGTTCATAGCAGATGAGAAGGCCTGAGGTTCCAAAGGTTCGAGAAGGGACTCGATATTAAATGCAGAGCGGAGCCGCGTACTCAAAAAAGCGGGGCTTCTGCCATCAGAAGAAGTTGGAATTATTCAATGGCTGGCGCCCTTGACATGGGAACTTCCTTGCTGCGCCGTCGGTTCGGAAGTGTAGTCCGTAGACATCCGTAGACCTTCAGCAACTAGTGGGTTTTCCTGATTCTCTTTCCAAGCTGCTGGGAGGTCCGTGAAGCTGCGGCTGAAGCTTCTGGAGGTTGGCTATGGGAAGCCCTTGGGCGCCCCGCCTGGACGAGTGTGAGCGAGTTTCGTTGTAGGCTGTGTGCACGACATACTGAAGAGTTCACTTCTTGACCATGAGCCCGAGGTGCTCAATGCCTCCTCCACTTGGTCAACTCTGTGGTGTTTTTGGCGATACTGTCGGCGGCAGCTTGGATTTGAAAGATTCCCACAGCTCTGGGTGCACTGCTGTAGATTCATGTTGAGACTAAGCTAGTGACCGTGCAGCATCTGTTTGATGATGAGGCCTCTGTAAACTCAGAATCCCCCAACTGTCATGTCAGAGCGCGATCCGAGGCCTGGCATTGTAGCAGCTATGTGACCAAAGGGTTGTTCGGTGCCGGCGCAAAGCCAGGAGCGCCTCGGACGTAACCCTAAACCCTAAACCCCTAAACCCTAAACCGTGTTTCTTGCGGCATGAATATGTGCATGTCACAGCCGTGATGATAGTTTTACGCAACACATGTAGGGCTTATGGTTGTTTGGCTGGTCTAAGCGATGTCGCCGTTTCGATTCGTGCAAGATGAGAATTGCGACAGTGGAGATAGAGCCAGAATCAATCAGCTGTGCCGCAGGAAGGGCGGCAGCAACCACAACAGGACAGGTAGTGAGTGGCAGTAGTCCAGCTATCCAGTTAGCAGGCATCAGTTCTTGGCACTGGTGCATTGGGCACACGTGTGGAGCCCGAAACTTTCTGAAAGCTGCCTGTACACCCTAGCTCAACTCATTTCTCCCAAACCCTGAAGTACCCCTGCCTTTCGGTAATGCTGGTTTCGACCAACCTTGATTGGGCGGCTGAAACCAGGCGTTCAAAAGTACAAGAACCGATCAAAACAATACACAAGATCAGGCATGATTTTAAGAGGTATAAGACATCAAAACTAAGAAAAGACTTCGAGGCGTTTCTCGGCCGAAGGGATCTCGGAGCGCAGGGAACTTCGAGCAACTTTTCTGCAAGCACGCGAGCCCGACAATAGTTGGATGGTGCTGATACCGTAGTCTAGTAGCCCGGAGAAGACAGGAGTCATGATCATGAATGATCATGGTCATGGCGATGATACTATTGGCACTGGTACTCACTACTGGTGATGTTTGACCACCGCAAGGTGAGAGGCAGTCAAGGATATACTCGAGTGCAACCCACGGTGGAAGCGGAGGGAGAAGGAGGAGTAGCAGTAGCAGCAGCATCGTTGTCATTCGGTGTCATTCGGTGTCATTCGGGGCAGTTGGTCGCCCAGTACTCGTCCCAGTTGTAGTCGCAGCAGCTATAGGGAAGGGGCAGGGTGGGTTAGGAGAAGCGGGACCAGTTAAAAGACTGGAGTGAACGTCGTCACCAACCACTTGCAACACAGAACAGGCATAGTCGTAAAGGCATGACGGATGCGACATGCATTTGCAGATTACGCGCCCAAGTGCGAAGCCCTCACTACGACGACTCGTCAATTTGGAGTGCCCTGTACAAGAGTTGGCAGTGCTGAGGTGAAGACTGCGCACAGGATCGCACATATCAGTTTCAGAATTCGCTGTTTTTATTGTGCGACATCTGTTGACATGTGTGAATTGTCGCCATCATCATCATCAGCAGCAGCAGCAGGAGCAGCACAACCAACAGCAAAAGCATCGAAACCAGCTGATATATGGAGAACAGCACGATGACTCATGGCATTGCCAAGAGCAATACAGTATCTCACCACTGCCTTGCTTAGAGGCCACGACAAGTTTAATGCCTCTGTTGTCTTCTTCGCCTTCGGCATCACGAGTGCTGTGACGTTCAAGGCGTTTCGCAGGACCGCGTGGCTCCCGCAGAAGCCTGAGCATAGAAGCCGCCCCAGAGCATGGCACACCCCGGATGTCGCACCCGAGCCTGAACTCCAAGAGCTCAATCCCAGTTTACTCGAGAGCCTAGGCCCCAAAATAATTCAAACCCTCAAAACCCATTTTCGGAGTGGCAGGATGGAGCAGGCAGCGCTGCCTGCTGTAGTTAGTGATGACCTCGGAGCTTACATTAAGGCGGAGGCAGGAACCGATGTTCAAATCTCATGTCGCAGTTCTGAAGGGTTCAGGGGCTTTATATGTTTTTAATGGTAGCTTAAGTAACATAGTCTTGTTGACCCAGATGGTTAAGTATCACTGTTTCGCAGCGATTGTAGCTTGGTGCGCTTTCCAGCGTGGACTCAGCAAGGCTTCTCGCCGAGGTTGTGCCGAGGGCTCCAGGAGTTGAGGAATCACGATCAGACCCCATATGGGAGTTTCCGAAGATTATGGTACCTTATTCTAAACATCCTTATAATAAGGATCCTACTATTTAGGGTGCTATATTAGGGTCCCCATTTTTCGGAAACCCCTGTACAATACACCTATCTTTATGCAAATGCACAGAGCTGATATCATTACATGCAATAAGAAGCGTCGAAGTAGTCATGGTTGTTGTCGTAATGGTTGCGTATACATGTGTATATATACAGATAGATAGATAGATAGATAGATAGATAGATACATATATATATATATGTATGTATATATGTAAGAGAAATCTTTATGTAAAATGTGGCGTTCCTGGGAGGCAACCTGGGCGGCGACCGAGCTCAGGAATGCTCGATTGGCAGTGCTGTCCCTCGTCTGGCGAGTAGCCCTTGTTGCTCCGAGTTGCGAAGTGCCGAGCAGCAGGAAACCCTAAATAAACCCTAAACCCTAAACCCGGAACTACTGCTGATCCGGAATCAGATGCGTTATGGAATCGCACGACTCGTTGAAGCATCACTGTGAGGATCTGTAGATGCGCACAGTCTCTTAAGTGGTGGGCTTAGAGCAAATGGATCCAGAAAAGGCCAAGCTGTCAGCTGGTTGAGAGAAGCGGCGGTATAGAAAAGCTACACTTTGAGTATCTTGTCCTGGTTTTCTTCCTGCACATTCCTCCCCAGATCAAGAACCCAAGTCGCTCTGTTTCCTTCTCTCTCTTTGTTTTCGGCCGGCCTGTCTTCAAGGAAGAGGCTTGCATCGTTTGTCACTGACCCGGGGAGCATCAGCAGCAGGATAATCGAATAGTTCTACCTTTTGTCTGTACCCTTCTCGTGTGTAAAGGCAAGTTATGTAAAGCTATATATATATATACATGTATGTATGTGTACATGTGAGATGGTTTGAGATGAGATGAGATGGTTAGCAGATGTCCGATTGACCTGCTGTCACCGACATCGTGGGGGTTCTGCGCTAGCCTCACGCGACGCGGAGGCGGGATGGTTTCGGCTCCCGGTGGCCTCGCTTGCACGGGTACGCTCGGAGTATGTGTGAGGGGGCAACCGGGCAAACAACAGGCTGCTTGTTCCTGCGCCCAGTAAGTGCGAGCTCTCCTAGGGGTTCGAGCAAACGCCGGTCGTGCCTCCTCTCATGAAATGCTGATGGGCTTCGGCCAGAGTCAAAAACGTCCGGCAAGGTTAACATGCCACTCGTCCGCCGTTGCGGCCTTGATTTGCATCTGCCGCCCCTGGCTCCTTGTGCTGTGCTCCCTGGCCATTGAAGGGGTCTGAGATCGAGCGCAGCAGACTTCAGTCTTTATCTCTCCGAGGCTCCGAGGACGACGACCGCTGTTATATCGTATACCAGCTGGCCACCTGGGTGAATTGCCCGGGTTCAAAGCAGCTTCCAGTTTCTAAACATAATATCAACATCCTGGTGTTGACGATTAGACTACCAGTTTCTTCCGAACCTCCTGCATAAGCTGGGGTACCCTCTTGGCAATACGGCACCAACTACGTACAACTACGTCGTCCGCTGGTTCCCTTCATACTTCCTTGCCGATTTGTGGGCAGTTCTTCCAGCTGATGTTGCCTCTTTGACAGTATACTATAGTACATTCTAGCCAATGTTCCATGAAATATATCACAGTATATACTATCCAGCTGGCGCTGCAGGTTGTCCCAGTGTTGGAACTTGGAGCCATGACTGCAATATTTCGTGGTCGCATGCTACATGCCAGATGACCCACAGCTTCTGCTGAACTCGAAACGGAAGGGCAATGAGACAGCAACTGCACGTGTTTGGAGCACGAGGAGCCGTCATGGTGGAGATCATATCTCTTTTCTCTTTGCTGGGCGTCTTCAGCCTGAAGCCGCCTGATATTCGGGTGGCATCTTTACCGCAAGCTGTCGTAGAAGCTGTCTTGTGGCACAAGGTCGAGCTGCTGTAGCCGGAAGCAAGCCTCTTCAGAGCCTGTCTGAGGCACCACAGCCGGGCCGCCGTGCAGGAGCCGCGGGCAAGTGGGTTGGAGCATGTTGCAGCTGAATTAAGTGACAAGGCTTGGGGTTTGGGTTCAGCGAATGGCTGCGAGCTTCCCACCCGCTGCTCGAAGTGGTCCCTGGGCGCAGGAAGCGCGAGGCTGATGACTCGCGTGGATACTCTTACTGAAGCATGGTGGGCCACTGCGCGGGAGCTGGCTTCAAGGTCGGGAGCTCGAAAGAGGTTCAAAGTAGGAAAATGGGGGTTTCCGAAAATAGGGGACCCTATATAGCACCCTAAATAGTAGGATCCTTATTATAAGGACCTTAAAATAAGGTACCCCCTATTTTCGGAAACTCCCAAATCTACTCGAGCAGGAGCGTGTCCCTGGAGCAGCTTCTCGGTTTCTGGGGCGAGCTCGGCAGCGAAGGCTGCGTGCAGACTGTCTTGGCATGTACCCAACAACCGCTGCCGCTGCTTTTAAGAGTCATCCGCGAAAAGCTTCCGCGGCTTTCAGGACTCATGCCGCACTACGACACGGCTGCTCAGTTGCCACAAGCACAGGAGACACGGATGTGCCGTTGCCGGGCTAGGCAGAAATTGACCACTTCTGTAGCTTTGTCTAGAGTTTACAGACTATGTTTACCATGCATCCACACAACATCAGCACGTACTCGCTGCGGAATTCTTGGTGAAGCTCTGGTCTTTTGCTTGACCACGCAAGACTGAGGAGCGTTCGACTACCAACGATGTGGTTCGACAGGCCACAGGGGATGTGAACTCTCTCAGTCGCAACATGTCGCAGCCCATGGCCCATGGCCACCACCATTGGTTTCAGCAGCCCTAACGGCTGTTTTTCGTCTCGTGGAGGCTATCATTCCCAAGTCGCGCAGACCCGATGGCGGCGGAGACTGCTTGGCGAAGGCTCCGGCATAGCACAAGTTGCCATCGCGTCCTCAGTCGGCGATTGCTCGACTTCTCCATGCATGTAACGAAGATGGCCGACGTGGTCACTCTAGTTCTTCTACACCCTGTGTGCGACTGATGCTGGCTGCGTCCTTTGTTGCTGGGCAGCTGCACCACCCAGATTTGCAGTACAGAGGGTCAGCTGTTTTTTCGGCAGGTGTTCCAGGAAGGCGGCGAAATGATGCCTCCAAAAGCGATGGCTGCATGCCTGAAGCTTCGCAGAGGAGTCTGCCTGATAACTTCAAGAATTTCAAGAGCACAAGGGCTCCTCAAAGAGAGAGGGTCATCCTTCTTCAAGGTGGTCGAATTTCGCGATCTTTTGGATAATCGTGAAGGCATCCGTTCACTGCCGCGTGAAGGTTACGCATTCCTGGCGCAACAACTTCAGAGACCTAGTCAGAGCCTTACTGGAAGCTGCACCGCATCCGTGATGAATGGGTGGTTTTCGAGTATACGAGAGAAAGGGGGTCACTCAACTGTCAATGCACAGCTCAGGTTGCTGCAATCATAGCCGACGCGGGCAAGAAGGACCGCTCCACTGCAAAGGCGAACAGAAAGTGTGAACTGCAGCTTAGCACGTTCCCGATGCAGACGTCGATCCGTTCAGAGCACCTCACGACAAACCCACCTCCCAAACAACTCCCTGCGACAGTTGATTGTTGTGTTGTCGCTGAATTTCATGGCCTCAAATCGCTGGAAGGACGAGTACTGGCGAGTCGCGGCCAAGCTCGAAGGCAGCCCAATGGATGCTACCAGGCAAGTGGATAAACTCCTGCGGAAGCTGCATGGAAACGAGCATCGCTACTGGACGCCTGGTGGCTTTCATTGAGCCGATGCCGTCAACATAATTAAACTTGGTGACATCTCCAGACGAGCCAAGGATTTGCGCGTTCTGCGTCAACCAGCACGCCAGCATTTGTGGTGGCTATGCAGATCCGCCACCCATCTCGGATGCGAGCGCACATAAGAGGTGCGTGGCCTTTACGTTGCAAGATGTGAGCCTTTCCACTCTTGTCAGTCTGTGTCCATGCAACTCTGTAGCCGAAGAGTCGCAGTCGCAGTTTGACTTTGGCATGCTTATTTCTGGTGCACAAGCATGGATCACCCTTGGGCCGCACGGTCTGACCCGCCCGGTAAACCTGAAAGTAGAAGAAGCACTACAGACAAAGCGAGGGAGTCAGAAGTCTCGCACCGACGAAGACTCGAAGGAGCTTCGCGTGGCATGTGAGCGCAGGGTCTCGAGTCCGGCCGCACTTGCGCGGGGGGCTGCGCCCTTGCAGAAAATAGGAAGGAACGATTTCTGAGGGAGGTGCAGGCACTCAGAAGCCGCAAGGGGATGAGGAGGTGGGGATACTCGCAGGACATGCTGGCGCCAGTGTGGCACCCCGTCCGTTGCGCCCACAGAAAGAAGGGAACAACGCGAGATTCGAGCGTGGAAAGCCAGTCGAGCCATATCTTATATAAAGTAAGAAGAGACACATCCTGCGAAGAGCAGCCCCTGTGCATGTTCAGACTTCGAGAATCGTCGAGAGGTGGTGGGAATCTCGTCACGATACCGTGACGAAGCAGCCGCTGCCGATCTGCAACTGCAGCCAGCCCAAGCTCTTCAGCAACAAGGCTGGCCGGAGGTTCCAAAAGAGTTGGATGAGTGTTTAAGTTTAAGATGGTTTTACAGCGCATAGGCCATGAGCCCTTGGGTTGTCGGCAGTTTGGAGGATTCTTCCTGATGTTTCTGAACTTTCAAGCTAAAGCATATATCTAAAGGCAGCTTATCCCACAACAAGCGCAATCGCAAGCAGCGTTTCAGGATTCAGCCCGGTGCGAGCTCAACAAGTTTGCCAGCTGCAGAAAGAGCAACTCCAGGGCAAAGGCCAACTGATTGGTTCGCCTGCCGGCAGGTCTAAAACTTGAAAGTCCCTGGCTGTCGTGTTACCTAGACCCGGGTCCGCACTCTGCCCAGGTTTGATGACATGATGACGGTCCTTCATGATTCTCGGCATTGATGAATGTTTTCTGTGAAATGGGCTATCGATCAGTATGTTTAACGGAACACGGGCATCAATGTCTCAAAGCACTGGCCCCGATCAGGATACGGTGCTTGGCTTTCGGCAGGTTGTGGCCGTGGACCGTCAACTTGATGTCTTTAATCGACCCTCAGCTCAAAAAAGAAAGCCCCTCCGCCCGAAACAGAAAACCTTTCGGAAGAAGCCCTAAACCCTGAACCCTAAACCCTAAAACCTAACTAACCAGGCAGGTGGAAAAGAGGTGTCAAAGAAAAAAACCCTAAAACCGGGGTACTGTTGTGAGGCGCCTGGTGCGTCGCAGAACTTGTCGAGGCGAGGAGCCGCTTCGGAAGCTGAAGTCTTGGGTAGGACATGATGTTGCCTTGCCAGAATTGCGTGCGCGGCAGTTGATTCATATGCGTATGCAGAAATGTATGTACGTATGTATGAATGTATGGTTGCTTGTATGCATGTTTTGGCTAACCTTCTTATATTTTTTAGGCATCTTATGTAGGCATGCATGCATGGATGGATGTATGTATGTATGTATGTATGTATGTATGTATGTATGTATGTGTACGTGTATGTGTCTATGTCTATGTGCGCATCTGTGGATGCATGGACGTATGTGTATGTGTAAGTAGGTAGCTAAATAGGTATCTAGTTAGCTAGGTTGGTTGGTCGGCTGGTTGGTTGGTATATATGTGCATGTCATGACCGCATGAGTGTGATGTGGCACGATGATATGACACATACTATTTTGGGAGGTTCCTTACTAGAATTATAGCATAATGGGCCCCAAAACCCTATGCTAATTCTTAAGGCCCCTATATAGAACCCTATCATAGATCCCTTATAGGATCCCTTTAAAGGAACCCTATTCTAATTCTTAAGGCCCCTATATCTCTGTAAGTGTGACCAGATACTTGGGGATTTCCCAAAAGAAAGGGTGCCTTTTTTGGGGGTCCTTATAATACGGATCCTATGATTTAGGGTACTATATTCGGGTCCCCTATTCTCGGAAATCCCCACTTCAGAGACCCTCAGCGGGAGGCGAGCCGATTGGACATGCAGCAGGTCATCCAGGCGGGCTGCGCTTGGAACCCACCACAAAAGGGTTTAGGGTATAGGGTTTAATGGGAGTTTCCAGAAAATTGGGGGTACCTTATTTATTTTGGGGTCCTAGGATCCTATTATTTGGGGTACCAGATTAGGGTTCCCTATTCTCGGAAACCCCCAAATGGTGTGGAGTGTATGCAAGAGTGCAAAATTTATATACGAAGTTGTACTAAGAAGCATGGGCTTGTTCAACTGCACATCGGATGTTGCCGATACGAAATCCGAAACGGGACTCAGCACGTGCCTCCGTTGCCGATGATGCGCTTTGATTGTCATTCGAGGTGCACAGTACATCCGCGCTTGATATCTATTCCGCGCCTTGGCCGTCGACACACCGCTCACATTCCAAACAACATGTCGCAGGCAGCATGAAGATTCAGACAGCATGCTACGACTTTCAGAGTACCAGTCGGCAAGGGCGACACGGAAGCCTATGCCACCCTGGCGACGCTCTCCGTGCAGGATTGTTGTGCCTCCAGGCAATGGAAAGCAAGCTAGCCTTCCATCAGTAGAGCTTTGGCCAACTTGTTCCCGAGCTCTGAGTGTGTGACATGAAATGTGCTCCCTTGGATTTCAGAGCAGTTCAGGCAAGCTTCAGTAGTTTTGGTTAGGATCACGTGCGAAGGCCAGAAGACAAGGAGGACATCTTGGCAAGGATTGGACACTTGGCTCCAGAGTTCTGCCAGTTCAGTCAAAGCGCAGGAATCCACAGATGTTAGTAGCTGACGTGCTTGTACGCTGAGCTTGGTCGTGTGGGCGGTTCAATTGTGTTGCTGTCCTGGCATGGTTGACCACTTGGATCGGCAGATGCCTTTCGTTGGATTGTGAGATGTCGTATTTAGTATGAAAGCTATGTTAGAAACACAATAGCATCGTAGCATATTTTGCTATATATATATATATACACACACATATCATTACACATTATACATGCTGTGTAGCACAAGGTGACACGGAGGAGTTCGATGCCAAGCTGCACACTGCAACGCGGTTGAGACTGTCGATCTCGTTGGACTCGGCAGAGACGACAACACGTGACAGATCAGGGCCTCAATTGTTTTGGAATACTCGTAGGGTTTCGGGGTATATTACACTGAAATTATAATAAGGAAGCCCCCCCAAAAAAATAGTAAAGGTAATCATGTTGCACTTACTAGTAGCGGAATCTCGTGGTCCAATATGTTGGCCTGCGGCAGCTTGCAAGCAATACAGCAGTGAAGCAGGGCAAGCCCAGCTCAGTAGAACAGTGTCAGAGCTGCTCATACGAAGGATGAACCTTCATAGCAGGGCTGCTGGAAAATTGCACCATTCATTCAGAGTTAAGCGAGTCGTGAGGCAAAGGAGGGGGTGTTGTGCAAGTTAGGGCCTCGCTAATATTGCGGTTGGTATTCTCGCTGGCGAGAATAGCCTCCACCCAGATACCCGAAACCGCCGACTCCCAAATCCTGCAAGCCAACCCGCTCTTTATCTAGTTGTTCTTTTGGCGACCCTTAGACTACGAAGGTCAACCTTGAACGCAAAACCCCTCAACCCTAAATTTAAATGAACCATAAATCCCAATCCCTAATTAAACCCAACTGTAGGTGATCTTCGGACAGCATGGCCTCCTCGGTCGCCGCTTTCACGGCTTCGGGGCTCTGGATGCGGCGGCGCGCACTGCGCGCAGGGCCCGGGCTCCCAGGTCTCTCCGTTTTGGAGGTTTAGGGGTTTAGGGGTTTAGGGTTTAGGATTTAGGGTGTAGGGTTTAGGAATTTAAGGGGGGGTTTAGGGGATTAGGGGGTTTAGGGGTTTAGGGTTTCGGGGGTTTAGCATTTAGGATTTAGGGTGTAGGGTTTAGGGGGGTTTGGGGTTTCGACCGTCTAGGACACACTGTAGGGATTTGGGTTTGGCATGGGTTCTTTGCATAGGAGCTCAAGCACGATGAGGTTCTCGACTTCAGGCGGCAATCACAATGTCAATGACAAGACAACAGCAAGGACATAGAGACCTGACGGTAGAATAAATAGTGGCGGCACTAGTAGTAACTAGTAGCAAACAAGGTTGTTCCACACAATCTCTACTTCTGGCAGCCGCAGTGAACGAGTGAACGAAGTTCCCTCCAAAGACACGTGGGTGGTTGTCAAAATTATGGTCCCTTTTTGGGTCCTTATTATAATACGGCACCTCTTATTTAGGGTGCCCCAAAAGGGACCATAATTTTGACAACTACCCACGTGATGCCCAGGTCAATGAAGTCTTGAACCTGAGAAGGACTGCTATTGGAGACCCATTCCATATGGGGGTTTCCGAAAATAGGGGACCTTAATATAGTACCCTAAATAATAGGATCCTCAATATAAGGACCCCAAAATAAGGTACCCCGAATTTTCGGAAACTCCCATATTTCACTTGAAGGTCTCTTCGGTTCCACTTCAGTGTCACTATGGGGGATAGCGCTGGTTACGAGTTACGAGAAGCCCGGCTATGTGGAAGCTTCCGAGCAAGGCTTTCAAGTCAGTGTTTTTCAGGATCATGCTGTTCAAAGGTCAGCATCTAGGATCCTCTGCCCGATTGCCCTGAGCTTGTGCAGCCGCCTCTGGCAGGAAGGCCGACCCAAGCCCGGAATGAACATGACAGAGATCGTCTCAGAATCATCCGCAAAGATCGGCGAGCTGCCTACGGTTGACAGCTGTTGCACAGCAGGTTGTACGATGGTATTATCCTGTAGACCAGGCTTCCAGGCCTCAGTTAATGCACGGGCGATGTTGCCTCTTGGCAGCCCTTCGCCCCGCGAATGCAATTTGAACTGCATCTGGGCAAAGACCCCACCCCGAAAGCAATTATGGCATGGATCCAGCTTGTACAGTATTTCCAGGCTAAATGGATGCCATATGTGATCCAACAGCGGAAGAAGAGGAGGATTAGACGGCAGTGCGCCAACACACGCACACGGACTAGCAGCACCTCAGAAGAAAAGTGGCTGGCCGGGTCTTCTCTTAGACGACCTTATGCTTACCTCATGGTATGTAACCTTGCAGTTACCCTTATCAAGCCTTGAGAAGCTCGACTGGCTGTGTTAGACTATGTTGCGCAGGCTCGCAAGGCAGTCGGAACAGAAAGCAACTTGGCAGCCTGTGAAGTCGCAACGCACAAGGCCGTTTGTGCTGGTAGAATCGTTTGTGTGGGTGTTTGTTTGCGTGTTTGCAAGGGTTGTTTGTGTGGGTGTGTGGGTGTAGAGAAGCAACTGTATTGCGCTTTTTCCAGAGGTGGCAGGAGCTCTCCCTGGGCGACTCCTGCCAATGAAGACACCCCCAGTGAAGGGAGGGGTGTAAAGGTACCTGCTGTGGCGCACCTTGGTGTCGTGCATAGCTGGTGTACAAATTCAGAGCTGTTTCAGTTTTACCGCCTATGTGGCTCAAGATCTTCACCTCTGGAAACAGGAAAAATAGGAGACAAGACTAAGTACGTAATAGGGTGGATTGCACAAGTGTGAGGTGTGTAGTGGGTCTGGGTAGGTGTAGGTGTGTGCGAGCGTGTGTATGTGTGTGTCGGTGGGTGCGTGTGTGGGTATATATATATATGTACATATGTACACACAAGCACCTACATATCACGCATATATATATATACATAATACACACACACACACACACATCTGCATAATTAGAAATGTATATACATTTGTGCGTATACAGATCTGTATACACAGGTGTATACAGTGACATAAGTGTACACATACACATACATATAGATGCATGCATGCATGCAGGATATCATACGTCGGTGGTTAGACAACCCTACATGCATGCATCAGAATAGATACACATGTGATATATATATACCTGCTACAGGCCTCGGCTCATTATTATCGGTCGCCGCAGGAAAACCCGGTTCTTTGAGGGCAGAGGGAAACCTTGCTAGAAATACGGGCGTGGCTGTTTTGGGTGGTTTCAGTCAATGAGCTCTAATACCGATCGGGTGTTAAGTTTCTTGTGAGGATTGGTAAAAAGGGGTTGTAGCTTGATATTGGAGTTTCGGAAAGTATCGGGCTTGGGATTTCGGGCATTGGTTCTTACTGAAGCCTTGAACTCTAAACCTTCGGAAGGTAAACTCGTAAAAGTGCATAAACCCAACCTTCAAGCAAAGCCCCTTCCCTGAACCCTGAGCCCTAAACCCTAAACCCAACCTTCAAGCACAGTCCCTGAAGCCCTGAATCCGAAGAAACCTCGCCGAAAGCCCATTTGCTTCGCCATGGAGCTCATCGACTGCGAATCCGAGGCAGCAAGGGCTTGAGGATAAGGTTGAAGGGCTTTGCTATTGTTCTATTTTGGGTGCATAAGATTATGTAGGACTAGCTTATCCTCTACCCCTGCCGTAACTGCGTCCTTGTGCCCACGAGATAACGGCCTATGGTTCTCAAGGCCTGCAAGCGTGGACTCACCCGACGACTGAGCCTACTGACTCGGCCAACGAAGTCTTCATCGGCAAATGTGGAATCACAGAGTGGATTCAAGAAGGCATCAAGATTTCGATCAAGGCCTTGGCGGATTTCTAAGCACAGGTGATGCCAGAAGTGAAGCTTCGGAGTCAAGTTATATCTGCACATGGAGCGGTCCAGGCAAATCCGTGCACATTTCGCATAGCACTGCAGAAAATGCAATCCAGCTTCCGAAACAGTAGCCGCTTCGTCTCGACTAAGCCATAAGCCAGCAGCGAGCAAGGTTCGCATAAAAACACCCATGGCGTGAGCTGCTGAGGCCATGAGCCTGAGCAGCTTGTCCTCACCCAGTTTTGTCTGATGTTGATCTTGCTGCAAAAGCCAGAAAACAAATTCCATCATGACAGGCGTATCCATGGCCTTGGACCAGTGCCCCGTAGGGAAGCACGATTCGCTTTTGTAGCCAAGCAGTTCGCGGGTCAGGGCTTTAAAGTGAAGTTGACGATGAGTGTCCTTCAAGAAGCGTCTCAAGTCCGCCGTCATATAAGCTAAATTTTCAGGAATGGAGGTTCCATTGTAAAGCTGCAGGAGGATGGCAAGGGAGCTGGCACAGAAGTCTCTGCCAGCTCCTAGATGGTACAGGTGCATGACGTCGAAGCGATAGAAGGAGCCCGGGTCATCTCGGACATGAGGAAGATATTCCAAATGCGGCGGGAGCACTGACCAGGGCCATGGGTTCTTGGCCCCGGTTGTAGCAAGCCACGACGGCGACGATCCAAAATCTTCGAAAGGATAATGTGTCGTACCTGCGAGGCAGCGGTGGCAGCATCCGGTGAGCTCCTTGCTGCTTGCTTTTTTGGGCGCCTTGCGGATATTAAGAAAAGTCCGCTCAAGATTAGCAGCTCGCTGCAAGAACGGGAGGTCGCCTTTGACCCCCAGAACGAGGAAACGTAGATGTTTGCCTTGCAAGTGCAATCCATGGACGTATAACTTCGACAGATTTTGCATGCAAACGTCCAAGAACCTTGTGAAGTTCTCCGGTGCCTCCTTGTATGCGCCCTTCTGTAGCACACCAAACAGAAATCTTGTGCAAAAACAGTGCTTCTGTACGTTGACACCTGCAGCACGTCGATTAGGCAGTGGATGCGATGCACGTGTGCCCCACCCCAGCACTGGCTGAAATTGCACCACCATAAGCTCGTCTTTTTTGTACGTGCGTCCGCCGTCGCCGTGCACCAATAACGGGACGGTACTTTCCGGATCCCAAAAATCGTGCGTCCAAATCTCGTGCTCTGGTACCCATGCCTTGTATCGCTGCCAAAAAGCTCGTAGTCGCGGAGCACCTGAGCTATCCATGCCGGCCACACATCCTTGCCCCTTACCTCTTAGCTTCTCTATTACTATTTCTATAGGGTTTTCTAGTTTAGCCAATGGTGACTGGGAGTTGCTTCAAGCTTTGCAGGATTGAGAGTTTGTGAGGGGGACGACTTTATAGTACTATGTTTATAAAGAACCAAGCCCCAAACCTCAGACCCCGTAACGGCCCAACCCTCACCAAGATGTTTCAGAGTGTTATTGAATTGCCGACGAAGGATCTGTCATAAAGGGGCCCCCCGAGAAGCCTGTGTAAATGTCCCTTCTCAGAAAGACTTCCAATGTAATCTTCGGGTAGCAACACTGGAACTGTGTATGGGGCTCCACAATCGATCTGTGTAAGCGGCACATTCAGTGTCAAATCGTACTGCTTCAGCACTCGCTGCAAAGCTTTCTCGGCATCCCCGTCCGGACAACTAGCCATTTCCCGCAAAGCCTTGCAGTCATCCTCCCGAGCGAAGGTCTTCGCAATGGAGACGACGTGCTTGGCAGTGGCCTCGGCGA